GTAGCCTAAATTAGATTTATCTCCAATAGACAGATGCATGGTTTAATTTACATTTAAAGGTAGACACACTTTTAAGTCACCTTCAGCACAGTTTTAATGGGAAGACGTAAGTTTCTGAGGTATAGTTTACCGAAGAAAAATGAATTCTTGATGAAGTCCACTTCAATATGTTTTTAAAAGCAGTTCAGACCACAGGTCTGATCCATGTACATTCCGATCAGGTGCAGCAGTCTAGCCACTTACAGGTTGAAGAAAACAAAGCACAAGTTTAAGAATTATACTACTCAGATCTCGGTTAACAGTTTAGGCATATTTCTTCATAATTTGCTGAAAGAATACAACCAAAGTACCTCATTAATTTCAATACGTCAGAGTGCTATGGAGGAGTTTGAAATGTCCAATTTAATTTTTAAAAACTAGTGCAAGAAAACAGGAACAACTCTATTCATTGCCCACAAAGGGGAGCATTAAAATATACAAGTTGTCAGAAAAAACCATGCAGGTTAAAATCATAAAAGTTAGTATCTGAGAAGCCTAGGCACCCAAAAAAAAAAAAAAAATCAGGTCACATTTGATGGTGCAAACAATTACAGGAAATACAGCCTATTCCACATTCAGGAAGAGCCCTCTCTTCCCACAGGTTTGCACTACTCTGATAAAAACAATTCAGCTTCCTAGTTATTATGATGTGCACTTTAAACATCCTCGTTAATCCACAAAAGCCTTATTTACACATAAGAAGTTGAAAGCACACATATGGAAAAATAACTGTAATCCAAACAAAACTGTGACATTCATATTTTATTATAAAGTAGTTCTTTTTTAAAAAAAGTTTCCTCCATATACCTCTTACATTTAAGCTGATTTTCAAAACTAAATGCCATAAAGCACAGACCATCTACTAAGTTAAGCGCTAAAATTTTCAAAGATCAAAAACTAGGATAGAGTTCAGAAAGGAAAATGTGTTTTGGATAATACACGCAGCACATAAATGGCCTAAAAAAAGGAGATGTACATTCTGTAACCTAACCAGATTAGATGTACTGCTCACCTAAACATACAGGTCCATTTTTCTCTCTTCCTGAATACAATTCCAAGAAGTAATGACAAGTCCATTTCAGTTTTGTTTTTATATACTGACATGCGACAATAAATAAATAATAATAATAATGAAAAAAGCCCTAGCATTCTAATAGGGAAAGGGAAAGCAATCCCATGTTTTATTTGTTTGAATTCTTAGGGTTGTGACTTTATTTCTTCAATTTGATCAGCACACAATATAAAAGACAATGGTTGATCATAATATTATTCTTCTCAAACATAAACAAAACCTTCAGGAAAATGATTGTATAGTAACTAAAAAAAAACCCTCACCTACATAAAACACTAAACAATAAATAGAAGAAGGAAATGAAATTTCAGGGCAGAGGGTACAAAGAGGGAATGTGAACCCTCTAACCTTGTTTTTAGATTATATATATATATATCTACATAGACACACACTTGCCCCAAATACTTGGTATTCTCAAAGGTGCCAGGAAACAACTGATGAAACTATTAAATAATACACTTTTAAGAAAGTGCTCTAAATCTTGCAGACTGTTTTAGCAAACCTGTAATTTGCTATTGCTAAGCCCTTCTGCTGGAGAATGTCAGTGCAGCATACAGTTCAAGATATTTAACACAGTCCCTCCTCTGAGAACCAGGATAAGCGTTTCACCCGAAAACAACCAACTTCTCAACTGTTAATTGCTATGACCTACTCCACCTCTGTACTACTGCCTGTAAGCACCCAATATATGTAAGCCCATGCAAATACCGATACCTGCACAAATCCACAAGCATTTTGTCATTTTTGGCATCTTCTAACAGATCTGTTAATTTCCCTGCCCCAGTCAGCACTGGTGCTCAGAGGCTGGCCTCACGCATCAGAAAAAAAAAAATAACTGGCGCCCCTTAGTGTTCACATTTTGAAGTCATGAAGCAATTTAGTAGATTTGCATGAAACATTTTTTTCAACATTCCAAAAAGTTTTCTGCCTCCACAATACTTCCACACAATTGCCAACGTAAACAGGAAAAGCAGAAAAGCTTAAAGGGATAGCAGTCTTCTTCCAGAGACTATTCGGAAACACAGATTGTATTTTATTTCTTTTTCTTTTGAAGAAGAGTGTGACGAACAGTTCCAACACAGTCCTTAAACTTTTTCAGCAATAGTCTTGAGAGCCCTCATTTTGAAACTCCAATACTTGACAAACAGGCTTCCAGAGTTTTCAATATTTCAAAATATATGACAAGATGTAAGTACTTCAGACAATCCTTTTTCAGTGTCCTTTTTGCATTGGGAAATGTTTTTCCTTCCTTTTGTTCTCTGGGGAAAAAGAAAAAAAAAAAAGGCTCCGGGCCTCCTCTGGCCAAATACATTAAGTTGAAGAGATTCAGGAATTTAAAAATCCAGTATCAAGCCTCTAGAAGGCTCATTTGTGCTATAAAGGAATCTTCTCAGTCGAGTTTCTTCTTGATGTTTATTGTAAGTCTAACTATTCTGAGGAGATTGTTTGCTGTGGTGACCAAGAACATATGTCTTAAATAGTTTTACTTTTCGTGTCCGCATTTGCTCCAATACAAATTCAAACTCCTCCTCAAGAGTCTTGAAAATAAAAATAGAATCTCCCATTACATTGCTTCCCACAGTCCATATTTTGGTATTCTCCACCAGGTTTGTGGTTTGTTTTTTTTTTAATTCCTCTATCATTTCTTTCAGAAGGTAGCATTTTCTCGATACGCTATTTTTGTGTTGTACTACAGTCACTATCTCATTTTTACAGTCTTGGGAGAGGGCGGGGAGTTGTTCTACCAAATATAACCAGTTCTTTCATCTTCAGAGGTCAACAACTTCCCAAACTTCTTTTAGCGTGGAAGAATACGTCCGCAAACAAGAATTCTAACTCCAAATCTTAAAAATCAGTATTTCACACTAAGAATCCCAACAAGTTAAAACTGTATAAATAATTTATGGCCTCATCGTATTCTACAAAGCTATCACATACGATTAAACGAACAGGTCCAACCCTCCAGAAAGCCTAGGTTTAAAGTTGTAAGAAAGGAAACGCCTTTGACAAGAAAAACAAACCTGTGAACCCGAGTATAAGGTGAATTTAAAATACTAAGAACAAGTGTATCACCTTATTTTTAACACAGTGGGTCTGCTACTGTAGTGAGAAAACGTATGGGATACAGTAAGTTCCCAACACGTATTTTTCTATTTCTAAAATATGATTATTTATAAGTAAAAGCTTAACCTTAAAGAAATTTATTTAGGGAAAAAATGGGGGGGATGCGGGGGGAGCCCTCGCCTCGCGGCAGGAGCGGGTGCGGGGCTGGGGTGGACGTTTGGCAGGAGCAGACTAGGCAATTTCGTAACCCTTTTTTCCCTTCACTAAAGTCACACGTAGGAGTCTTTAAAGTTAAGTTTCTTTAAAAGGTAAGGGTAGCTGAAAGAAGAATTTACTCGCTTCCCTCGCAATATAGGAAAACCGTAATTAGTTTGTGGCCAGTTCGGGGTGGGGTAGATCTGGAGCTGAAGAAAGAGCTCAGTCCCCCTCCGCCTTAGTCATTCAAGTCCAAGCAGCTTCCAGAAGAGCCAAATCTCGAAACCAAACACCCGCCGCCCCCCCCCGGCGGGGGCCCTGGGGCCGGGCGGCGGAGCGCTCCGAGGGCGCCGGCAGGACCCCTCTGTCCCCCGCCGCCGCGGGAGGGAGGGATGGAGGGAGGGGAGCGCCAGCCGCCAGCCAGCCTTTCCCCTCCTCCCTGCCTTCCCCCAGAGCGCATTCCTGAGCTCCTCTCCTCGCTCCCTCCCCTCCGTGCCGTAGTTACCCTTACCCCGGTTTTAGGAGATGGTGCGGAGAAGGGGGGGTGGGGGGGAGGAAAAAAATAAGGGGAGAAACCCTCCCGGGGGGAGCGGGGACCGCGTGGCCGGGGCTGCTTCTCCCCCTTCCACTCGCTCCCCGAGTCCCCCGGCACCGCACGGCGGCGGCCAGGGCGGGGAGAGACCGCACTTCCCCTTTGTTTTAGGCTCCCCAGCGGGGCCGGGAGCGTGCGGGGAGCAGCGGGGAGAGCGGAACAGGCCCCGGGCCGTCCCTGCCGCCCAGCCGGGCTGGGGCGGGAGGCCGAGCGGGATCCCCGGAGCGGGGGAGGCAGGGCAGGGCGGCGGGGCGGGGGAGGGGGCGGCCGGGCGAGCGCTTTTACCTTCGTCCAGCAGCCTCTCGAGGTGGTTGAAGATCCCGCAGAAGTTGGGGAGGCTGCTCATCAGCTTCTTGTCGTTCATCAGCTGCATCAGGTAATCGGGGCTCGGCTTCGGCTTCTCCTTGGTTTCCATTTCCCCAACCATATTCCAAGCCCGCGCAGAGACGGCGAGCGCCCGCAGCAGCTCCGCCGAGCAACGCGACCGCGGCACGGGGCGCCCGGCTGGATCCGGGCGGGCAGGGAGGCGGTGGGGGAGGGGAGGGGGCGGGGAGGGGACCTTCCCCGAGGAAGGAGGAGAAGGAGGAGGATTCAAATCCGGAGACAAACGCAGACCCGCCGCTGAGTCCCAGGGACCGAGGAGGGGGGGGGAAAAAAAAAGAAAAAAAAAGAGGAAACTCGGTAGAAACCCCCGTGCGGGCTGCGCCCTCCTCCCCGGGCACAAGGACCCGCCGCCGCCTCTCGGTGCCGCCGCCGCTTCCCTGCTCCGTGCGCCCTCGGCCGGCGCAGTCCTCGGTGTGTCCCCCCTCCTCCTCCTCCTCCTCCCGCGCACACACACGCTGAGCCCGGTTCTCCTCTCGGCGCTGCCCCCTGTCTTCGCGGCGGGGGAGGGAAGGAGGGGACGCGCGGGGCGGGCGGGCGCTGCTGGCGCGGCTGCCGCTTCCGAGGAGCCGCCGCCGGTGTCTCCCCGCTGTTGCCGCCGCCGCTGCTGCTGTTGTTGCCGCCGCGGTGCGCTTGGCGTGTGTCCTCCTCCTCCTCCTCCTCCTTCTCCTCCTCCCGCCCGCCCGCCCTCCTGCCGCCGCTGCTGCTGCTGCTGCTGCCGCCGCCTGTGGCTTGGTGAGTCTCAGCCCCGCCGCCGCCGCCTCCTCACTTCTCCTCAGTTCGCTCCGGAGTTCGCTTCAGTTCAGGCTGCGCTGGCAGCAGCGGCGGCGGCGGCAGGAGGGGAGGGGGCAGGGCCCACGGGGGTGGGACATGCCGGGGGCGGGACCAGGGGCGGGGCGGCCGCTGCCCGGCGGCGGTGGCAGCGCCACTTGGCGGAGCCGCAGCTGTGCCTCCCTCGCTCTCTCCCTCTCTTCCGCTCCGGGAGCCCGGGGCGGCGGCGGCGGCGGGGGGACAACCAGCTTCCCGTGCGCCCCCGCCCCACCCGGCCCCGCCCCGCCGCGCGGGAACACGAGCGCGCGCACGGAACTCTCCCAAACAAAGTCGCGTCGCGGCGCCTTCGCCGCCAGGGCGGGGGCGGGGCCGGGTCACGTGCGCCCCCCGGGGGCGGGGACAGCCCCGCCGGGGCGCGCGTGTTCGCGCCGCTCCGCGCTGCCCTCGTGTCGCGCGGCGGCGGGGCCGGGGAAGGGGGAGGGGGCAGGTGTGTGCGGGGGCTGCGCGCGCGCCTGCGCACGCGGGCGGTGGGCGGTGCGGACGTCGCGAGGAGCGATTCCCGGTCGGTCCCGGGGCCGCGGGGGCGGGCGGGGAGCGGGGAAGCCTCGGGAGCGCCCCGGCCGCCACCGGCGAGCAGGAAGAAGCGGAGCTGGCGGGAAGCCGTTCTCCCTAGATGCGCGGAGCGAGTCGGGGTCTGTCCGTGCAGGCGGCGGCGGCGCGGCCGCACGCACGGCCCTTGTCCCGCACGGCCCCCCTGCGGGCACCGCGCAGCGGCCGCGCAGGCCGGGCCAGCCCGCGGGTCCCGTCACGCTCCTGCCCGCCCGGGCCGCGTCGGCGGGGCCGCTTGGAGCCCTTTCTGCTCGTAGGGTAGCGCCGCGTTTGGGCATCGGCCGTGTCTTGTTTGGCGGGTGTGTATGGGAGACGTGCTAGGAGCAGCGGTGTCCGGCAGCCAGGACCAAAGTTAATATGCTCCATCCACTGCAGCTGCAGGGGCAAAGCAGCGCGGCGCGGTTGCTTGTACGTATTCCTCCTTCCCCACGCAGCTACTCGGTGTTGTTACTTGGTTTTTATTACTTAAGAGATCATCAGGAAGCTTTGATGTAGTTTTCGATAGCTTGGTAGAGCGTTTGTCACAAAGCTGGATAAAAATCGCTGCATTCTTCGTATAGCTCGCTGAAGACAGTCTTTTTTAATAGGGCTGGGGCTGTTGCTTGAAGTTCTGTGAAAAATTCAAATGTATTTCAATACATACTGTACGGTATTTGAAGATAGATTAATCGCAATGAACCAATGCTTCCAAAACTAAAAAGAAACAGACACGTCACGTTGACAGGTGCACAGTGTCATTGGGTAATGTCAAGCAGGGTTAACTGCTTTTCCTGAAAGATGCGCATTGACAAAAATGTAGAGAAAGCATAGTTCTCAAAATAGTAAAAATGCCTTGGATTATTGCATTCCGTCTAGTGTTTATAGTATATTTCCCCTTTAAAAAGGCAGAGCTCATTATTTGGACGTGAGAATTTTTATTTCATTTCAGGGGTTTGTTTACATTAAGTAAAAATTAATGGCTTATGTAAGGTAAGTCAATTTTATTGCTTCCATCATTGAAAAAAATTATATAGTCAGTCAGAAAACATTATCTTTGTTATCAAAAAGTAGCAATGTTACAAACCATTTTTTAAAATATAGGTTCTTAGTTCATCAGTAGCATGCCCACAGCACACCGCAGTATGGCTGTGGATGACAAAACATTGCGGTTCCTATTTAGTAACATGATTGTGTTTGCTCTTTTCCAACCTTGTTTTAGGATTGTGAAAAGCTAAAATACAACTTTACATGCTGAAGAGAATTGCCATCCTTTTGCTTCTTGTAGACCAGTCTGGACGATGATGCATTTTTGTAGCCCTTTACTCACTGATTTTTAAGCGGTGAGTGAAGGCTCTTTTTAACCCTGAGAAAACATGCTGTCAAATCCTTCCATTTGATTAAGGGCATCCGTCGAACAGCAAGCTTTCATCCTAAAATTAGATAAATGTCGATGATGTTAGAATAATTGTTCTGGACTGATGATTCTCACAGTAAAAAGAGCATATGGAGACTTTTTTTTCAGCAGATTTGGTGCAGCTGTTCCCACACCACTTCATTATTGCTTCCAGCACATCAAGTGTTTCCAGTGCTTGAATAGGAGCAAGGTAAGAAATACCAGCACAAATTGTTGTGCAGTAACTATCAGTTGTCTTACCTACTAATAGGAACTATAGAGCTTATCATATGTTATTTTGTGCTTATTTACTGGAGAATGAAATGGTGCACACCAGCAGTTGAGGAATCACTCATGGAGCGCAATGCAAAATTCAAGCCCTAGTTTGCTATATGTTAATCTGAATTATTTTCTTAAAACAGTACAAAAATTGAGACAAAGCTATATGATAAAGCTGCCCATTTAATTAGGCATAAATGACAGAAAAAATTCATATCCTTTATTTTTTCTGTAAATACTTCAAGACTGTGAATTTAAATCTTTAGAGAAAAGCCTGTGGAAAAGCTGAGTGTTTTAATAAAATGCAGATCATTCAGCATTAGTTTTAAACAAGCAAATCAGCACGATATCTTTCTTTATCAAAAACACAGTAAAACCAAAAAAGCTACCTAAAAACCCCTCTCAGCATACCTTATGTTCTTCTTTCTGCCTTTACCTTCCCACACTTCCACATCCTAGGAAAGGGTGTTTTAAGAGTTCCAAGGAGATGAAAGTAGAATTAGTTCTGGTTAAAGAGCTGTGAGAAGGTATAGCTCCCATCGAGACTGGCATGACTACAGCCTGATCTACAGAGGCACTAGAAATACTCTTACACTGTCTTAATTTTCCTGTGTTCCCATGGGGAAAGAAGGCAGGGGGGAGGACATGACGCAGGACTGGGTAAACAGGTTCTGTGAGTATGGGTGAGAGGTTCTGTGGTCTTGATGTCAAGGGGAAGGGGAGGGGGCAGAAAGAGAGAAGTTGATTAGTCTGTTTCAAGATAATCAGGTCCTGTGGTCTTGAAGGGTTCTTTAGGTAAGTACTCAAGGTCTTAACTTCAGTCTAGACACAAGCAGAAGTCCCTATCTTTAACTCTTGTGTTTTCATCTAGGTGGCCTTTCTTGTATCACGTAACCTGTAGTATTCTCCAACAGTTTCTCTTTTAAGGTGAAGTTTCATTGCATTAATCTAATCTCAAAGTTAGAAAAATTATGATAATGTGAGCAGCAGCCTCTATATATTACAGTAAAGGTCTGCAATGATCATAAAAAGCAAATTCAATTACTGCTATAATGTTCATAGCTGATAACACCTTGGGAAATGGGAGATCTGAAGGCTAATGACTCCTGGGAAGCATACTCATTCAAAAGTGTTGGCTATTACTTCCAGCATCTCCGTTGACCAAATCATAGGCATATACTCTTGGATGTTGTCACCCTTCTGCAGTGCTGTCTGTATTAGGGAGATACCACTGTGCTATATTACCCTTCTTTAGGGAAAGAAACAGTTCTTCACTTAACCATTACAGTCACTTGAAAAACAAACCCACACTGTGTGTGTGATTCAGTATTGACTCGTTCATGGTGTACAAGGTTGTAGCTACTGTAACTGTAATGCAGTAGTCAGACATGCCCAATACCAGATGAACATTTGAAATTCATTTATCTTTTAAGCAAGGTGCTTAATTCAGTAACAGAATAAGGTCTAGAGCCAGACTAAAAATCTTGAGAACCAATTAGATTGAAATTCTATGCAGTGTCTGACAATGAAAAACATATTTCTCTTGACATTAAGCCAAACCAACAGGTAACTTTTCAAACAGAAGCTATAGTAGCATGTCATTCAAAGTAATAAGCAGATGATATGTTCATAGTCTAAAAAGGGACATTTCTAGGTGTTCTGTGTAATCCTGGAAGAGATGATGCCTAAATTTGTCCACTAGTGATGTTAAGTCATTGCTGAAGAAGTAGAAGATACAGGTTTTAAGCACACCTGAGTCTGGAAGGATTCAGATTTGTATCTTTTATACTTAAATTACATCAAGCTGTACAACTGTGAAGAAGGGTGTAGTGACCCACAGTATCACTCCTGGTAGAACTGGCTATTCCTCATGTTGGAATAAAGAAGGCAGAAAAAGAGATACCTTTGTGATTCACCCACTTATACAAGAGTAGGAATTGCTGCAGTCTCACTGTTCCTGTGGTTGTGTATTAATTATGCGGTCATTAAGCTGGGAAGAAAAGACAATGCTAAGTAAAATAAAAGAAGTATTTTTCCACCTTTGACCTAAATCTTGTACCTGGCAGTTTTCTTGGTAAGGTATTATTTCATATACCTTATGTTACTGTTGTGGGATAGTGTTACATAGACAGAATGGAGAGGCCTGAATTCTACTTCCTATAATATTAAGCATTTATGTAACTCTGTGTAGTTAGGGAAGGCGTGGGTATCTCTGTTTTGGGCTTCACTTTACCAATCTGCCAAACAGTCATCGGTATGCACAGAAAAGATGTAAATCAATATATAATAGATTACATCTACTTTCCACATTACCATAGAATGATTGCCTAGTAGATTGTACTTTTAAGTAGATTATTTCCATGGATATGCAATGGCTGTACATGCAATTTCTTTAAGTACTATGTAGGCTTTTCTCCAGAAAAGATAGCATTCTAGCAACAAGAAAAGGTGTGTCTGTCTAGAGAGGGTGGTAGTTCTGCTGTACTCTTGAGAAATCTCTGCGTTGAAAACAAAGTTTAAATTGGCTACATTTCACATTCTTCAGTAGGAGATGAAAATGAAGTCTCACGTATGCCAGTTTTATTACGGTGTTGCTGAGAAAGGCAGAAAACAGTGAGAAGGAGGGAAAGAAAAGCAATCTGACAAGGCATAGAAAAAAAAATACCAGCAGTTACAGAGAGAAAACGAAATTGAGGTAGTGCATTATAAACATAAAATTTACCCATTTTATCATCTCCTTCATAACAGCACTTAAATTTTAAAAGCCAGGGGGGAAAACTATTTACAGAACATATTTGAATCCTGTATTTTGAAGGTGTGTTTTACCTCTAAGCTCATAAACATTCCTACACCTTATAATTTATGAACACTTGCATTGTTTTAGTGCATTTTACTGTTGGATTATGAGTAATCGATGCTCTGCCTAGGTCAATAAAAGAGGCAAAGTAATCTCTTGAAATACACCATGCACATTTCCAGTGGTTCTAATCCCATGCACAGTCCTATTGCTTCAGTTAGTGTGCTAGATATGACTCTTCCCATCTCAGCAGTCACAAAACTACTACCTTAGTGGTATAGCTGTGCTCGCATAATGGGGAATTTCAGATGGCTTCTGGCCTGTCACTTTTGGAAGCAAAATATGAGCCAATCTGTGCCACACATTGCAAAGTGGGAATAGCGGTGAGTGTGTATTACTGTAAGTGCTGCCTAAATCTGTGGAGACACTGAATTGACCACTGCTAAATATGATATCTGTCATTGGGAGTCCAGCTAACATCCATTCAAGTTAAAAGACTGCAATATTTTTATTATTTGGAAATAAGGAATATTGAGAGATCTTGGCCATTATTTCAGACATACTTGGTTTTTTACCTTCTATCTGTTTTGAACTAGATGCCTAAATTTAAAATTATTCAGGATAACATTCTGCATTTTAATTGATGCAGTCATCTCACCTACAGTAGTGCCCTCAGCAGCTTTTTAAAATTCGCTATATGTAACTAAAAATATAATGTTGAAAGACATACTTTTGTGTAAGATATATAATCAGAAGTATTTTACTTGTAACCATAGTGAGAAATGTTTTCACTTTTACTATAGGATTAAAAAAAATAATAAAAAGTTCATATCAGGGAAATTTGCAGATTTATTTTGGCAACCACAGTGGCAAAGAGCTGACATGTAAAGAAACAGCTAAGTTCTGCTTCTCGGGTACACCCTCTTTTGCTAAAATACCACGGTATGTTGGTTACTGTGAAATATAAATATTTTCAGTCTTAACTTTGTAAATAGATTTAAAATAAACATTCTTCTCAATTACCACTAAAACCAAATAGAACTTATAATGCAATTCAAGTATTAATTCAACTTTTCCTTTTTTACATGTGAAATGTGAATATATATGTATATTGACTTACACTGTGGGATTGCTAGTGATGTGTTGCGTATTCTTCTTAATGTTCAGTATTCAAAGAGCAGCAGTTCTTACACAAGGAGCTTATATTTAACTGGACAGAAAACATCTAGACAAATTATAAGAAAACTTTAGCATTTTCTTAAACTTAGCAGTAATGAGCAAGAAATATTTGTATTGGTGGGCCTTCTAAGACAGTGTAATTAATTGGTCTGAAAAGTTCCGAATCTTATTTTTTACTAAAAGTATTTTTTTTCCCTGCTCAAAATACTTTCTATTTTCCAAATCATTATTAAATATAAACCCTTTTTTATGTGTTTAATGGTAAATAGAAGTATCTGGAGCTGCAAAGCTGTGAGAAAAGAAGGGGACTAAGCAATATGAATGCTTATAGCTTCTGGAGATTGAAACAGAGTTGCTGAACAGTGTTCATCCAAAGCAAAGGACAGAGCAGTGCTATAGTGGTTGTTGTTTACCCACGCAAAGACCATGGTGTTTCCATGCTGTAGTATGCTCAGAAGCTTGCTCTCTTCTTTATCTGTCCATTGCTATTTGTGCCTTCTCTCTAAAAGGAAGCAGCAGTGTTCAATTTCTTTTGCTCTTTAGGAAGCCTAAAGTTTGTTTTGATTGTGAATTACTTGATGTCTCCCATTTTTTCCTCCTACCCACAGTCTTTCTGTTGAGTGTGGGAGACTTTTCCTGGAATATAGTAGCCACACATATTTGAGTTATGATATGCCCCAGAACCTACTTCACAGTTTTCTACTCATCAGAAGCTATGAAACACTTTGTAGTCAAGTACCTCAAGTTGCTTGAATGAAGGGCAAGAGTGCACAGACTTATTGCTTAAGCACATGGATAAATTCAGAATTTCCTTGTAGAAACAGGAAGCATCCCAAATTTCATGCCATCTTTGTCAGAATTTGTAGGCTGGTGCATATTAAGTCCCTATTTGTCACCAGAGTTCAAAGGACAAGTCTTAACAATCAGTAAAACACAACTCTTGGGCTCAAAGCCAAAAGATTAATGTTTCTGGGTTGTTTGCTTATCTAGGAGATGTGACTCATTTTGTGTTACAGTTATTTAATACAAGATCATGTAATTTTATATAGCTGATACTGGATCTGATTACTGTTTAAAATGAGTTCATTGCTTGATCAGAGTAAGTAATTGTTACAAGTTTATAAGCACAATAAAAGATAGGATTCACTTGTACTCCACTTGAATCTCCAGAAGGTCACTTTAATGCCATAGTTTGCAGATGTTTTTTACACCTTTTGGATGTCTGGAGTGGCCACTGCAAACTGTTGATCCACCAGCTGCATGCAGAATCGTTTTCTATTTACCACTTTTGCTCTCGGAATAGTCTGAGCAACAGCTTGAGTTCAGGATTTTGACAAGAACTAAATTACTTGTTGAGGGTAATGCAGTCATTCCCAAGCTTTTGGCTTGGTGTGTTAATATTTTACATTCATCAAGTCACTGTGTTGGCCAGACCACAGAGCGGGGAGGCAAGGGAATAAGCTGAAAAGTTCACTACAGTATAGAGGTGAAATACATGCAAAAATCACTGCAGCTAAATTTGAAGTGTCTGGAAATTATGCTTTACAGTGCTGGCCATCTCTCAAAGTCTCACAATTTTTGTTATTATTCTTAGTTTGAAATGTTTTGTGTTGCAGATTGTGACTGAAATACAGGGAAGGGAAACAATGCATTTCCTGTAGATTCAAATGACTTCTGTACAGATCCAGTTCACATGAGTCCAGATATTCCTGTTCATTTAGAACATGAGAAGTTTCCATGTACATATCACAGCTTTTCTCATAACTTGTAGAAGTTTTTAAGGATGCTTCTCTAATAGGCAGTTATTGTATAATTAATAAATAAAAGTGATTACTGAAATGTTAGTGTTATCTCTTAGGGTATTGTATTTGTTTAAAAATATATATATGAAAGTTTCATGAGCAGTTTTCTTCACCTTTTAGGTATTTATATAG